CTTAGTCCGACCTACAAGCCCACGGGTGCGCAAGACATCACATGCCTCATGTTTTAACCACCAATCGATCCCGCATACGTGTAAAGGCACCGCACTACCTTGCAGGCCACATGCCCGCAAGGCCATGCATAGCCTTAAGGCATGTCATCGTTTCACCGAGCCCTCAACTTTTACCTGACCCCATAACCGTGTATTTTTTTACGTCGACGAACAGACTTGGATGTATCTCAAGATCCCACATGTGGCCCCAAGCCATCCCACGTGCATCTCACATGACTGGCCCAACACCCTTTTGAGAGCACTACCTCCTCTAAGAATGTGAAAAAGACAATTTGTGGAATTTACCCAGTAGACATTGAAAAAGTTGAGTATCTCACAAGTGATTGTTGCTCACCATAACACTCGATATAACCTTTATTCAGCCCATAGTGCCTAATTTTGGCCATGCAACTCGAGTCCTTCCCAAGATACTCTGGAACCTCCAAAACATTTAAGCACTCCTCCCTAACTTGACGTTGTACACTTAACTTGTCGGCGTCTGTCGTACCTTGGCACACTAAGGGTAATGCGCCAAGACAACCCTCAAAGTTAGTCTATAACATTAAGCATGATGGTTCATCAATTTTCTTTATATTAAGTTAAAAATTTTGTTGCTCATCATAATGGATAATCACTTTAATTGATCCACATAAATAACTTCTTGTTGAATTGATGTATAGGAGCCTTTAGGTAACAGTTTGAGACATATTTTAGTCTTTTGACACTCATCGTGTATTAACATTATAATCATTCATTTATCATATTAAAATTTGCATCCATAAAAAGCATAACACTAAAGATACTCTAAGTAAATACACATGAAGTAATTATGCTTCTCTAGGAGGAATAGAGTATTGATAACATTATAGATACTCTAGGTGAACACACATGAAGGAATTATGCTTCTCATAAAGAAGAAAACATAGTATATTTTGTTTCCTTTGGGACTTGAGATCATTTTTTCTTTTATATTTTCTTAACATTTTTGCAAACTTCTCAAATAAATAAAATATACTTAACTTGTACATAGGGTGTAAATGAACCGAATCGAACCGAACTTGAATATCATGCTCGATTATCATAAAAATTGAATACAAATTAAAATGTGGGAGCGCGTTCATTTCGTGAAGCTCAACACAGGCTTGAGACGAATGAAATATCATTTCAATCTACACCACACTAACTTTCTCTCTCTAACCCTAATCTCCTTTCTCTTCGCTCAATCTTGCCGTTCTCTTCATCTTAATCGTCGATCTCCTCCCCGGCAGGGCGCTCCGCGCCGCTGTGTAGCTGGCGCTACTTGTCCTCTGCGCCCAGTCTCTCGTCGAGTGGTGGGCATCTATTCTGGTTGGAGTCTTGTCGAGCAGCGACTTTTTTTTGTTTTTGGGCAGGCTCTTCGTGCTAGAGGTGGTTCTGACTTTTCGACGGCGTGGCTGGACATTTTGCTCCAATTTACGCCTAGTGGAGGCCTGAGCCGAGGTCAGTCCCTCCTTCTTCCCATGTTCTCCTGCTCCTCTGGGGTGGGTTGGTAGGTTGTTGTGGTGGTGGGGGTCGTAACGTCGGTGGCTGGTTGTCTTGGGCTGTCGGTGGTTGGTGAGGTGTTTGGAGCTTGGGGCTGGTCTGGTGCTCTGTTCTACCTACCTTCCCAACATTCCTGGGGTTGGGTGTTGAGTTTCTCTGGCGATTTTGGGTTGTTTGCTCTAGTGGTTTGTCGGCCTTTGGCTGCCTGCTGGTGAGGGAGTGTGAGTTGGGGCTGGACTCGGGCTTGCTGGTGCGAGGGAGGATTGCCTGGGAGAGTTTTTTGGGGTTGGGGTATCAGTACTTAATAGGCCTTCTGTAGTTTCAGGTTCGGTGCTTTGGACCGGTCATCTGTCTGTGCGGGTGGTCGCTCTCCGTGGTTGGTGGCGGGGCTGTTGTGGAGTTGCAAGCCGGTTGGGGAGGAGGGATCTCTTTCTTAGTTAGTTATTGAGTTTTCTGTTATGTTGTTTGCTTGTGTGGCTTTGTGTGTGCCCAAGTCCATTTTTGGCGCTAAAGATGTTCGAAGATTGACCTCGAGTGGTCTTGATCCCTTCCTAGTTGTCATTAGGGGTGGAGGTCTGAAGACACCCTTGGCGTTGCAGGAGTGGACTTGTAGTATGTTGTGTTGTGGGGTTCGTGTTTTTGTGTTTTTATAATGCTTTCGTTTATTGTGTTTTTCTTTCGTAGAGAAGTGTATATTCTCCTGTAGGGGAGCTTTATTCTCCATTTGTGGAGTTAGTTAGTTTTCTGTTGTTTTGTTATTAAGTGCGTTTGTTCCAGTGTAGGTTCTAGGCGATCCTTAGATCTGGCTTTCCACTAGATTCGACTCTGGAGCTGTCTTATTCAGCTTTTGAGTTGTTATTAGTTATAGGTATATGTTTTTTTAATAAAATTATAATAATTC